CTCCCTCCCTTCCTTCCTTGATATTGGGGATTGAACCCAGGGTCCCTTTACCACTGAGCTGCATCTCCAGTCTTGCTTTTTTTCCTTCTGGTCCTGGAGATTAAAATGAGGGGGTGCTTTACCACTCAACTATATCTCCATCCTTTTTTAATTTTTAAATTTTGAAACAGGGTGCTGAATGCTGGCCTCAAATTTACAATCCTTTTCCCTCAGCCTCCCCAGTTCCTGGGATTACAGGTGTGCACCACCATGCCTGTCTTGAAAGTTTTTGTCTAATACTGACCTTTACTTTTTCCTCCCCCCCAACTCAGGCTTTCTGTATCTCATCCCTCTGTTTTGTTTTCTTTAGAGCTTGATTATCATCTAAGAATACTGGCAGTGCAGCTCAGTGGTAGAGTGCTTGCCTAGCATGGGCGAAGCCCTGGGTTCCATCCCCAGCATTGCACACACACTATACAGATACACACACACACACACACACACAAACACACACACACACTTCAAGTCAGGAATGTTGAAATTACTTTGCAAATAGATTCAGAACTGGCTTCTTTCACAGTGGGAGAGGGGAGTCTGATTGAACCTCCTGGATGCAATCTATATCAATCAATCTATATCTATTGATTGTACGTATATATATGATTGAATTTAATTGACGGACTGAGGACAGCAGACCTGCAGAGCCTGGCTACACACTTCCCCCCACCCTCTCCTCTTCCCTGCAGGGCCATCTGTCTCATCTGTGTTCAGCCTGCAGTGTTCCCACAGATCCTCACCTTCTGGTCAAACAGGGACAGGCCACGCCCTGCACTTGAAGTTTCCACAGGTAACTCGGTCATGCTTGGTGTTGGAATCAGGCTGGGGCACCTCCCAGGGGTACAGACTGATAAGCAGCCCCGGCATGAAGTGACACCTGCTGGGGAACTGGGAGTAAGAGAGCCCTTTGAGTCTTGCATTCACCCAACAAGGAAGCAGAGGCCAAGTGCTGGAGTACCCCACCCCCACCCCCGCCATTGGTGCCAGGACTAAGGCTGGGCCTGGCATCCTCTGACTCAGAGTTCAGGGCTTGTTTCTTTTTTTTCCCTCCACATTTTTTGTTGGTGCACTATAGCTGTACATAATGATGTAATTTGACCAATCTTGCTCCCTAGCGCCTCCACCCCCCCACCACCTCTAGTGCTTGTTTCTTTAATACAAACCAGCATGTAGCATGGTGTCGCAGCTGGCCTGGCTTGGGGGATTTGTGTCTGTCAGTTCATCCTTACAGCAGTGTGACCAGCAGCTGAGGTCCACAGGAGTGAGTGACTTGTCCATGGTCCCATGAGCAGTAGAGCCAGGACTTCAACACAGGCAGTTGAGTCCCAGGTCTCTGCCCTTAGCCCGTTCAGCAAACAGGACACTGTGATGCCACACACATTTGTAGGACATTTATTCTGGAGCAGGCCCTCTGCTGTGGCTTTTCCATTTGTCAAATCATTTCATCTTTGAGAGAGGAGTTGTCATTGTACTATAAGATTCAGGCATCCCAAGACCCCCCTTGCTTCTGACACTACTTTAAGTCCTTAGACCACCTTTGGATTTATTAATTCTCTAGAAGGACACACAGATTTCAGAACAGCAGATATACTCATGCTTATGGTTCATTACAGTGAAAGGACTCAGATTAAAGTCAGCACAGGGACGGTGCACGGGGAGAGACCCAGGAGCAAGTTCTAGGTGTCCTTCTCCAGTGGATATAGAAGGTCAGCACTGACTTCTAGCAGCAATGTGTGACCATACAGAGCGTGCCAACCAGGGAAGCGCCTCTGAGCCTTGGTATCCAGAAATTTTGCTGGGATCAGTTAGTAGGCAGAGCTGCACGGCTCACCTTGTTTCCAGCCCTCAAGAGACTGAGCTAAGACCACACTGACAAAGGTCCCGTATAGATCAAGTGGCTAGCATAGCTTTCCGGAATGGCCCACTGCCTCCAGGTAAACAAAGTTATTCTGATTAAGTCCAACATTCAGAGGGCTCAGAATTTCCTTCCCGGGTGCTGGGGGAGGGACGAGGGTGGCAAAGGGCCAGACTTTTCCATGAGCCAAGCATAATTCTTCCCTGCACACTGTCCATTTTGCAGAAAAGGAAATGGGGTTTCAGGGAGGTTAAATGACTTGTTCCAGGTCACATGGTTAGGGCCCTGATAGTCCAACTCCAAGGCTTGTGTCTTTCTGACAGCTTATATGTCTCTGTTGAGAGAAAAATTAGCCCAGGAGATAAAAACTTACCCATCTTCCCGTCTGATTGTTCATGTCTAGAGTGCATTTAATTTAAACCTCTGTCCAGTCTTTACCATGAAGGAGGCCCAGGCAGGGCTCTGCTTGGGGAAATGCGTCACATGCAATAAGATTACACTTCCTGTGGCCAGACTGTACATTCCACCACTAGCAACACCAACACCACCACTACCATCATTATCGCCCATCACCACCCCCATCGCTACCACCACCACCACCAGTCATGACCACCACAATCATCAGCACCATCCCTACCACCGCCACTACCACCATCTTCACCATTACAACTACCACCACCACCATCATCACCATCATCATTACCACCACCATCCCCATCATCATCCCTGCTCCATCATCATCCTCACCCCCATCACAACCACCACCATTAATACCACTACCCTCATCACTATCACCATCTCTACCACCATCACAATCACCATCACCACCACCATCAACACCATCACCACCATCACCACCATCACCATCACCATCATCACCATCACCATCACCATCACCATCACCATCACCATCACCATCACCATCATCACCACCATCACCATCACCATCACCATCATCACCATCACCATCACCACCATTACCATTACCATCACCATCACTACCACCATCACCACCTCCATCACCATCACTACCACCATCACCACCATTATCATTACCATTACCATCACCATCACTACCACCATCACCACCATTACCAACACCATCACTACCACCATCACCACCATTTCCATCACCACCATCACCATCACTACCACCATCACCACCATCACCATCACCATCACCATCACTACCACCATTACCATTACCATCACCATCACTACCTCCATCACCATCACTACCACCATCACCACCGTTACCATCACCACCATCACCATCATCATCATGCTGTTAATTCATGGGAAGAAAATGAGACTAAGCAAGAGGCCCACACAGAGCAGGTGGGATTCGAGCTCAGGTGCTCTGACTGCAGTGTCCACACTCTTACTGTTAAGTCACATTGCCGCCTGTGAAACACAGTGGTTAGATTTAATGAGCTCTGGGAACTTGCTCCTCAAGGTGTGATCTCTGGACCAGCAGCACCGGTGTCACCTGGGGCTTCTTAGAACTGCTGGGCCGCAAGCCCTGCCTCATACCTGCTGAATCTGTGTTTAACAAGTGCCCAGATGATTTGTGAGGCAGACGGATATCTGAGAAGTCTTACCCTAAAGTTCATTCTTCTTGGATGATCTGTGAACTCAACCTTTGCCTGGTAAAGGGTCCTCCCTCCCTTCCTTCCTTCCCTCCCAGAATTATCTCCTTGTCTGACAGCCGAGGTGGAGTGCTTCTCAGACTACATGACCCTGCAGATCCCAAGCAGCCAGGTGCAGGCCTTGAGGCGGTGGCTGGGCAGAATCCTGCACTTGCCAGGTAAGGGGCTGGGCAGGGCTGTGGCTGGGGAAGAAACCCCACGCGTGCCTCACCCAGGGCTTTGGTGCTGCCTTTCTCTGCCTGGAACCTTCCTCTCCTTTTGCTGTCACTCAAATCAGCTGAAATGCCCCTCCCCAGGGCCTCCCTGTCTCTGAAGCAGCCCCCTCCCTTGCTATTGCCATCTTTGTGCTCAGCTCTAGAACCATCCTCATGTGCCCCTTGCAGGGGCCCCCAGCAGAAGGAGGTGCAGCTCACTCGCCCCTTCTGAGTAGCTGCAGCTTCAGGAGAGTGGGAGCTGCCTGTGCTGAGGACACTTGCAAGATGGATGAACAAACAGCCCCAAACTGGGAAGAAGTGCCCACCCTATGCTCCAAGACCCACACTGCCCCGGAAAAGAAAAGGATGTGATTCTAACAGGGCAGTTCTTACCCACTGGAAGCCATCTCCTACTTGGTGGGCGAGTAGTGCACCTAAAGTAGCCAAAACCAAAGGCAAGGCATTACTTTCAGAGACACTTTTGCCATGAGCTTGCCAACAGAAAAAAATGGGAATGGGGGTGAGGACCATAAGGAGATTACCTGGGACCTTCTGGAAACTTCTGGAAGGAACAAGAATAGAGAGATGGGCCCATTGCCCACTTCCTGCTGTGTTTTCCATCTCAGGGGCGGAAAAGTGAGTCCTCAGAATCCTCCTCTCTTTCGCACAAAAAGGGAGCCATTGAGGAGAGGGGCTTTCCCATCACTCCCAGAATTTAGGGGAAACTCCCAGGGGCCCTGTTCATTCCAGAAATTCTTCAAACCCCCTGTGGAACTGGTGTGGCCTAAATCTGTCCTGGGCGGGTTGGCTGCCCGATGGCTACCAGCCCACGAGTCTTGGGAGCGGCATTTGGTATTAAAAGGCCACTTTTCCAGGAGAAATGCTGTGGATACATTAAGCTGTCGCCTGTTCTTTGGAGAGCCATTATTAATGGAAAACAATAGATTAATAGTTTTAAAACGCTTGTTCAATAAGTAATTTTTATGGCTCTGGATAGAGCCCATTAAACATTTCTGTGTGTTATTATAAAGAAGTTTTAAGCGTAAAATCATAAAGTCAATAGTCAGAGAATTAGTCACAGCGGCCAGCCACAGGCCATTAGTTTTAGGCGCTGTCAGAGACACCTGTGGCTTTCGGCGGCGGAGAGTTTTTATTTCCAGCGGCAGCCCAGCAGCGCCAGGTGGGATGCAGAAATGACGGGTGCCTGCTGCCTTCCATAAACTTGAGGGGACAGCAGGCAGGTGCGATCAGCGGGACGCCAGGCAAATATTTACAAAGTGCAAACGTGAATGCAAAACTAAAGCATCCAGGTCAATTTGCACATCCAGGCGGAAACACTTTATTTCCCCAGCGATCTGCCTTCCAGAGCCTGCTCAGGGCCTGGATCTCTTGCTAAAGATAGCGGTGGAAGCTGCGCTTTTAAAAGGAAAGCGTCACCAGAGAGGCTCCCCGCACAAAGGGCTGTTCTCCCCAAGGTGCTCTCCTCTCCCCTCGACAGCTCAGCTCTGCTGAGTCGAGGACCGAGGACCGTTTAAAACACCAGGACAAAAGCGGTAGGATTATGGAAACTAGAGGAAATCCAAGGAAGAGGATAGAACGGCGGCCCTCATTCCTCTCCCCAAGGAGATCCACCCCCCCCTTTTTTTTTTTTTGCTGTGGAGCTGACATTTGAGTGAGGGCCATGAGCAGTCACTGTGATCCCAAGCCATTTAGACAGTAGGTGAGGAGATGACAAGTGGCGCAGACAGGAGGCAGGAAGTAGAATAGGCTGGTTAAAGGGTCAGGGTGAGCTTCACTGAGAAGGTGACTTTTGCACAGACTTGAAGGAGATAAAGTGAGCTGTGCAGACCTTTAGAAGAGTTCCAGGCAGAGGACACGGCTGTGCAAAGGCCCGGAGGCAGGAGTGTGCCTGGGATGCTTGAGAAACCACGGGGAGACGTGGCAGGAACAGAGGTAGGGAGTTGCACAGAAGTGAGAGAAGAGGTCAGAGAGGCCAGGGGCACCTCACATGGGGCTCCTGGCTGAAAAATGGAGAGGTCTGACAGAGGAGGGACGTGACAGTCTGCTGGCGGCTGTCAGGAGTAGAGCAGGGGGTGAGGGAGGACGCCAGGAGGCAGCTGCACTCCCCAGACTGGGCCCAGGGGTGGGAGACCGGCCAAGTCTGGATATTTTGAGGGTGGCACCATGCTTTCCTGTTGGTGTTCACCTTCCCGGGACCTCGGTCCTGCGTTCTGTCCTCTCCAGATAATGTGCTTCTTGCAGAACAGGCCTCTGGTCCATGTCTGGTGTCCATGCTCCTCACCTTCCAGAGAAGCGGGCTCCACCCACACCCGTGTTCCTTTCTCTCCGCAGGCAGCTGGAGGACCCCTGAGCGCCAGGATTCTCTTTTGGTTAAATGCGGCTACTCCCTGCACCCCGCTTCTGGCGGCGACTTTGTTTTCCGAGCTCAGTACTTGGCCTGCTCCGTGCGGAAGGAGGTGGGTTTGGGCCAGATCTGTTCGTTTATTTATTTTTGCAGGGCTGCCCAGGAGGGAAGCCGGGCTAGGCAAGGGCTGGGCCACTGGGCCGCACCCCAGCCTTCAGCGAGACTTGGTGACGTCTCTTGGGAAGAGGCACCATTCTGGGAGACAAGAGGAACTAAACCTGAGCCCAGATGTCAAGGAAGGGGACCCTGTGGCATTTTTCCTCTGTAGAAACAGACTGAGGGAGAGCAGGAGGCTCAGGCCTCGGTGGAGCTGCTGATGGAAAGATGGAGAGGTCTGAGCAGAGGGGGGCCATCACAGTTTTGAACAGGAGCCTGCTGGCGGCTGTCAGGAGTAGAGCACAGGGTGAGGGAGGGCGCCAGGAGGCAGGCAGCGGCGCTCCCCAGACTGGTGTGTGGCATAGACGGCAACCACCACGGCCCGCCTCCACCCAGGTTAGAAGCCGCCTCCCAGGCAGCGTCCCACGGTCCCTCCTCCATGCGACAGACCTGTTCTGTCATTGAACTGCCACCCTGACAACAACACCCTGCTCACACAGACCAGGCTGGACCCTCTGAGGGGAGGGGAGCCACTCCCCCAGTGCTTGCCTCAGGTCCTGGCACAGTAGGCACTCAATAAGTGCTTAGTGATGTGAACACACGGTGCTGAGGCGTTGCAGAGGCTGGTGGGCCAGGCTCACTTGCACAGGCCCTGAAGGTGCTCACAAGACCGTGGGATTCTGTCAGTTTTGCAAAAAGTAAGGCGTCGTTGCCCCCACCCCCCCTCCATGTGCAGGAGTTTCAGGGCCCCCAGGAGGCTCAGATGGGGCGGTAGGAGCTGGAGAGCGGGGTGGGAGGGTCAACTACAGGCCGGAGGGTGAGGGATGACCTGATGGCGGCAGATGGCCGGGAGTGGGGGTGCGGCACCCCAGTCACTTAACTCCTCCCTGCCCCCACCCCGTTCCCATGGGTGCAGACCACCCTGGGCCCCTCGTATTTTCCTTTCCTCTTCTCCCCATGTCCTCTGTCTGTCTTCCTCCCTTGCTGGCCAAGCCCAGGGAACTTCCCAAGGGACTGAGGTCCCCCGCAGGGGAGGACTTCAGGAAAGGCCTTACCACTCCTCCTCCTGCTCTGTCCCCTCCCCTTCCACAGCCCCTGACAGCACCCCAACACATGCCACCTCAGGCCCCTGCAGAGCTCAGACGTGGCTTCTTCCTAAGGCTGGTGGGGGTCGGCCTGGCACCCCGGGGGGCCCACTGTGTAGCTCTGTGAGCTCCCCCTTGCACACAGAGAGTGCGGAGCAAGGGCATCAGGCCCTGTGTCCAGCTGCGGGGAAGGCCCCCTGCCTTTCCCTTGGTCACTCTCCTCCACTAAGCCTCAGTGACCTCGTCTGTAAGATGGGAATGAGAAAGTCCCTTGTGAGACATGGGGGAGGGTCAAGGGAGCCAGGGTACAGCAGGTGTTTGTCCCTGGGAAGACACATGCAGGTGTAGACCCCTGTCTGTCTGACC